ATATGTATTCATTAATAAAGCTAACATATCATTAAATAAAGTATCAACAGGCCAAAATACTCTTGACTGTTGAATTTTAGCAGAATATTCTTCTATTTTGAATTATTCTAGAGATTAGTAAATTCTGGTAATTCAATTGTAGTAGTTATTTTAGAGATAGCAAGACAATATTCCTCTTTATTTTGATAGACAAAATACAATATAAACATTACTAAATGTGATTAAATTTCTTCTATCATACATTAAACATATTGATACTATATAGAAAGGTGAAAAGTCTGTGCATTATTTGTCAACCAGCTAGTGTTTCTCATGGTGAGTGAAAAATTAGTCTTTTCTCTCTGTCTCTCTGTCTCTCTGTCTCTCTGTCTCTCTGTCTCTCTCTCTCTCTCTCTCTCTCTCTCTCTCTCTCTCTCCAGTTAACAATGGAAGCAGTATTAGTCACAGTACACGTGGAAATCTGCCAATAAAATAAAGTTAAATAACATTTCTCTTCAAGCCTCATAAAAACGTCCAGAGGCCTTTTGTAAGGATATAAAGTATGATTCCCATACTAGCCAAAACAGAGCAAAACTGGAGAAAAGAAGGGATGGAAAAGTCCTGCTGCTTTAGGGGCACTTACAAGCGCCCTAATGTGGCGAAGTCCACTTTGGTGTCTCTGTCAATCTTCTCCCAAGCTACCTACAAAAGGGAAAGAAAACCGCCTTCCCCATCACAAGCATACAAAAGAGAAGTCTTGCTGGCAAGGTTAGCATCTGTCAGTATCAGGCCCGGGACAAAAGCAAAGCCGCTCTTTGAATTGTTTGCTTAATAAGATCTCCCCGTGAATGGCCTGTATCTGCAGCCTGGGGTTTACTGGGAACACAATACTGTGTTCTTTTACATAGGAAAGAGGTTAGTTCCAATAAAACAAGTGGATATGGTCAGCTTGTCATTTTAATACAGTTCTGGTGTTTGTTCCGAAAACAAGGTAGACTTGCTCAACATTGCCCATAAGTGCCATCATGGTCATTCATATACTTTGCCCCAGCAATCTGATTTTTCTGGGATTTTCTATTTTGTGTTGGCCGCTATTCATTGTCTGTGCTCCATTTGTGGCTTGCTGCTATAGAATTTTAATGAGTTTCATGTTCAACATCTATTAGAATTCATTTTTTTAGTCAACCTATAGAGAACAAGCCCCTACATCTTTCTAAATTCAACTTGTCCCGCTACTAAAAGTGAAAATAGTTCACCCATGTTTAAGGACAATTCTAGAGCACACATTAAATAGAACTAACGTGGACTGAGAATACCTTCAAACCCACCAAACTGCCATTTGGTGTGGGCAGGAACTGAAAGCCTAATTCAGGACCATACACTCATAGAAGGTAGCTGAGCCCCAGTCAATTACAGCAGATGAGAGTCAGGCAATCGCCTGTGGCCACAGACTAAATAAGGCAAAACAGAGTGCTGCAACCAATTAACCACCTCTGTACCTCATTTCCCTTCTCTGGCCATCAGTGTTGTCTGACCACCTCATGGGGCAAGAAGCCTTAAACACGTCCCTGGATCTGAGAGATAACAAACGTGTCAATAATTCCTTAAGTGATTAAACTGTCATGAATTTAACTAAACTGAGTTATTTCCTTTCCACAAATATGAGATGATTACTTTGGTCCGCTGGAAGTGTAGATCCAAATGCTTAGCTTCCTCTATAACAACATGCACTAGAATTGGCTATAGGCTTGTTCAGTAAGCCATTCGGTACCCCATTTGAACTTGTCAACAACCTGCAAAAGAGGCCTTGCCTTCTCACAGAGAACCCAGGGGTCAGAGAGTTGGACCTTTGCCTAAGGACATGCACTCACAATTCTGATGAATCTTTTCATGAACCTTCGATGTTCTCATTATGCCACATTTTAGTTGCATAGTAATATTCACAAAATGTGTTTTATGAGAGAGTGGCAGTTTACAAAAGCATAAGAGTGGTCCTGGGACCAATGAACCGTAGCACGTGAAATTCCAATCACAGCTGATACTGGTTTTGTTTTCTTGGCCTGCTGGCAAGTCTGTATTTGCAGTTTGGGAGGATCTTTAAATAGATTTTTTTTATAGAAATTTTTAGCATAAGCACCTGCATTTGTGAAAGTTCATTTAGCCTCAAATATTCAGAAACCCCTAAATAGCAGGTCCAGAGCACAAAAGGCCTGAGCTAATTTGATTCATAAATTTTCTTATCGCTCAGTCTAAATGTTTCAATTAATGTAAATCACTTTATCCACTGCCAAAATCTGTACTTGAATAAAAATTTAAAAGTATAGTTTTACCCAGATTTACATCCAGAAGTGAAGATGGAATGCATACAGGTAGGTCTTAATGACACTGTGAATTTTGATTTTGTTTTGTTTTAGCTTGGCTGATTTTCACACAGCCAAGTTTGTAGTGATCCTGTGACTTAAGATAGAAAAATTGAACAATAATTTCACAAATGCTATTAATACTGTTTTTAATGAGGGCTTTCCAAAGACCAAAATAATGCTAGACCAGAGCCTGCTCCTACATCAGTGAGAAAACTGCATGAAATGAATTTTCTTCTCCACTTCAGGTTCACATATGTCAAATTGGTAACCTGTAATTGCCTGCTGGGAGTATTTACACCATGGGAATGGACAGACAAAGAGGAAGCAGATGCGAGCACAATACTGACAAAATGAGATGATGGACTGCAATGGACGCTGATTCTGTGCTCATCACTCCAGGTACAGGGATTGTTGACTGCTGAGCACTCAGGGCTATTCAGTCTGTCAATTTCCCTTAGTGGAAGAGCAGTGTTTTTCCTTAGGATTTTGCCCCTCTGATGTTGGACAGCATCTTGGATATGGGGTCACGAAGATATGAATCTCCAAACGATGACGGCAGGGCCACAGCTCCTTTGGGGGTTAGCCCTGGGCTGTAGGACACCTGCACCACAGTTTGTCTTTTCTACCACCTTAGCCCTGCTTCTCTCTCCCTTTTTCCTTTCACAAGTTCTCCTCCTAAGGATAGATTCTCCCATCTCTAAATAAATTTAAAAAAAAAAACCTGCCTGCCAAACCTGACCTATGATTTATGTCCTACCCAAAACATAATGGGTACTCAATAAATGTCATGTGCCAATAACCACAGGCATTTTCTCACTGTAGTGTCTCAGATAGAAGGGAATGGTTTAGGTAACTTCTCCTCTTTTTAACCTGAAAAAGGATTCTGGGATGGACAAGAAAGAGCAATTGTTATTGTCTATAATCATAGTCATCTCTTACAATGCTCAATTTGAAATCAACAGACAACCACAAATATACAAGCCATATTAATTTGGGTAATAAAAGAATTGATTTAGGTAATAAAAGTAGTCCATCCAATTTGGGTTGGAAACTTTTAAACATAGCTGACTTCTTGCTAAGAATACATGTAATCAGTAGTCTTTAATGATAATATGAATACAATATCCTTCACACCACAGTTCTAAGAATGACTAAGAAAATGCTTCTTTACTGAATAGTTCAATAAAAACCTTCCTTGGTCAACTTAAAAAAAAATTGAGTGTGAGGGCCATGTTAATCTCCTCTTGAAATTGCACAGGACTTAAACAAAATGCATCCCTAGAGAGGACTCAATACAAATCACAGCTGAAAAACACTGGGCAGGCATTTGCAGTTATTCAGTGATGCAATATTCTGGGCACATTCTTGGTTATGCATGAATGCCATGATGACTTCTAAGGGATTAATTATTTTATTTGGAATCATAACATTTCTTAGAACACTGTGAGGACCTTTTCAAAATTAAGCCATAATAATTCAAATTTTGGTCACATATTAAAATATATCAAATATATTAGGTGGATGATTTTTAACCATTTGCTTTCCACACTTTAGAAAATCACATTATAGGAATCTATTCTTGTTTCTGACTTTTAGATTGGATTTAGGGTGTTAGCAATGCATTAGTCATTGTGCTACTGCAAAATGTGCTACTGCAAAGAGAATTTACCTTGACTTTCCCATTCCTATGTTTACTAATTAAGTTTCAGATAACTCTGAGCAAGACAAAGGCACCAGGGTGATGAGAGAAATAAGTGAAGGTTGTGCCTGTGACAGAACCTGTAGATTCCTAGATGAGACACACAGGCAAAGTCATCAGCCAATTCAAAGTAGAACCAATCAGACACATTTCTTGGGAACATGTTTGGCATGTATATCAGTTATTTTCTTGTTGCTATGATAAAATTCCTGGCAAAACCAACTTAGAGAAGAAGGATTTCCTTCAGTTTACGGTTTAGGGATGAGATCCATTGTGGAAAGGAAATCGTGGCGGCAGGAGTGAAGTAGCTGGTTACATTGCATCCACAGTCAGGAAGCCGAAAAACGATGAATGCCAGTACTCAACTTGATTTCTCCCTTTATTCAATTCTAGGATTACAGCCCTTGTAATGGTGTGCTTACATTTAGGGTGGGTCATTCCATCTCAGTTAATCTAACCTAGAAAATCTCTCATCAACACTTAGAGGCTAACCTAACCTAGATATCCCCTCAGAGTTAGCCTCAGAGATTTCCCTACTAGGCAATTCTAGATGCTGTCATTTTGAAAATCTATACTACTAATAAATTTGTAGCTAAAACATATCACTTTTCATTATTTATTATTCTTATTACCCTTCCACGTGGCTCTGTTGGTGACAAAGAGTTACAGAAATCCTTTATACATTAGTTTCAAGTTGAGAATCTTCTGAGCTAAACATGGCATGTGTCAACCAAGACTGTTGGCCTTTGAGCCAACAGGTTACAGGTAGTATTTTTCCACTTCTGCAATAATAGAGCCAAAGGAAAAGATAAGAAGTGTTTCCAAGCATAAATCCCAAGAGGTACTCCCATGATGGATGTAGGGGCTTCTGGAAACTGTCCCAACAAACTGGAGTTGTTTAACAGAAACAACTATGATTTGACAGAAAGTAAATAGCATTGTAGGCACGAGCAGCAGTACCAGGTTGCCTTGGCCACATTTATTTCTCAACTGTCTTCACATTTATATCATATAAACATGGTCAGCCATGATGGTGTTGAATCTTATGCCACTTGAAAGTCCTCTTAGAAAATGAAAACTAAATTATGCACACATAATAAAGTACAAGTGCCATTGATTTTGGAAGGCAATGAAAAGTGCAAGTTATCAGACTTGGGAAGGGGGCATCTTTGCCAAGATAGACACAGAGTCACTGTCCACGTGAAAACTAGCCCCACATCCATCGCCACCCTGCCACCACCCATGCACACCCAGAACTCTACAACAACAGGCGAGGAGGATGTAAGGCCAACTGGGACATAAACAGTCCTGTGCCTGGGGCAACTTGGAAGGTCAGGCTGAATGAGCTGCCATCAACACTATGTCTTAAGGCAAGTGAATTAACAAAGGGAGAAAAAGCAGCTCTCTACCAGGAAAACTTCTCAGAGGAGTGAGTACTCAGAGATGATTGAAGTCCTTAAATGGAGGCTGTGGGTAGGGATCCAAGACTGGGTTATTATTTTTTTTTTTTACTATTTTGTTTCTACGGAAGAACACCATGCTTCAGAAAGTTGATATGAATTATTTTTTATGGCAAGGAGGGTCTCTTCATACTCGCTATGTAGTTCCAAATGACCTGGAAGTCTCAGTCTCACTGATGGGATTGTACAATTGGCTCAGTTTCTCCAACTTAAAGTGAAGACAAAATAAGAAGGAGCTATGAAGTGCATTCTAGAACAGGCCTGCTCACATTATGCTTCTCTTCTTCTTCTCCCCACAGCTCGGCTGCTCTTTGTCCTCCTTCATCCTTCCCTGGCTTTGAGTTTGGAGGAGGAGGAGGAGGCTACAGGGTCCTGCATCCAGGATTTTTATGTTCTGCATGTGCTTTCTATTGGCAGGATATTCTAACAAATCCCAATATTTTGTCCTTGTCGTTAAAATAAACACAGCACTCAAGAAAACTAGAAGAATAAAGGAATACAACAATAACAAATGACAGGGTATTTCCCCCGGATGCCAAGATCCTTAAGACATCAAGGAGCTTAGCAGGAATAACAAACTCTATTCTTTCCAATGTAGGATCCATGTCACCCAGAGTTCCCCAGTGAGCCAAGTGGAGAAGGACGGAAACCAAAGGAAAGCTTTTCCATGGAAGAAAATGGCACTCCATGTGTGTAAAGATAAAGATTTAAATTTTGAACCAAATACTTAAATAAGTTCAACTTCTCTCAGAATCCATACAGGAATTCTAACACAGAAATACAACAAGAAACCAAACTCTGTTTGCCTATTCTTGTTCTTCCTGACACAGGTCGACAACTATCCATTCACAAAGGCCAGACTGAGTGTGGGAAACTCAGGTCACTTCAGGCAGGACTGACCTGCTTTTGTTAGTAATATAATTACAACCAAAGAGTCCCTGTTTCCAAAACTGTGAAGTGAATTTCTTTTGATTCATCTAGATGAATGAATGTTTGGGGACTCTCTAGGACCCAAGGATGAACTTTGTTTTGGGAATTCCTCAGTAGGAGGACTTCAGATCTGCTGGAGACTTGCAGTATCCCATATTGAGCTATAAGTTGCTAACAGACACCTTCCCATTAAGGCTGTGATGCCAGCTTCAGGTAAGCAAGAGGTCTGGCTAGAGATCACTTAACATTTATTGACTCTCCTCTGTTCTTCCTGTTGGCTGGCTATTGCGGTGCCTAATCAATTTACAGGCATTGTCCTGAAGATGCTATTACTTCATGAGAAAAAGTGACATGTTTGCATCTAGCCTCAAGTCAAATTGAGTATCTTTTCCATATTTTGATCTTCTTCATTTTTAACATTTGTCTCTGATTTTTGTGTAGCTTAGGAGTGATATTGCAGAAAATTTTAATCACTGGGGAAGGGAGGTCTTTGCTACTGTAGGTTTGAAAGTGAATGCTACATGTCTCAGATGCTCTTCCTCTATGAATCCCAGGTGTGCTTATGTGCTAAGACCATGTTTCTGTGGTAAGTGTTTTTCTCAATCATAGGAGGAAGAGAATCAGTAGTTCTATCTTTTAGTATCATTTATAGAGAAGACACAAAACCTAGAACATGTCCATTGAAAGTAGGAATATAGTCATTAGAATAGGTGTGTATTAGAAGACATTGGGGAGGCTAGATTTCCGGAATGAGTAGAAGAAAACAAAAAGATCCCCACACTGAAGTCTAAAGAAGCTGTAATTTGAAAGCCAGCTTCTTCTGTGGAAAAAATTTCAGGGACCATAAAAAGATTTTCATTTCCATCTGTCCTTTTCTATGGTCTTATTACTACCAGGAATGGCCTCGACTTGATATTTAGGGACCAAGAATGTATTGTTACAAGCTACAAAGAATAAAATATGTTATTTGGTTCTCATCTATGACATCCACATTTTATGCCATCTAGTACCTGATTTCCATCAGTATGCACAAAATTCACTGGTGTGTGCAGAATCTCTTGTGTGTGCTTAGCATATGTGATATACCTTGAACAATTACAAAGATGTAGGACATCTGAAGCCTGCCTGGAGGAAACAGGATTGACTTTTCAGTTTTTAACACAATAGACTTTGCTGAATGTCATATCTTATCTTAAAAGACTAAAACTCACAACTACCTCATTTATAAATATGACACAGGGTTTTTTTAATCTGATATATTTAAATATTAAATATTAAATAGCCAATGGGCTATTTAAAATCAAAGCAGGTATAATCAACATAGAGGAATTGGATAATCGGGTTACTTAAGGATAACTAGCTATCCATCATTCTAATTAACTGGTGCTGATTCTGGTTACAAGTCAAGTCGTGAGATGACACTGTGCCCCTGGCAGTGTTGTGATGGAAATTGAGGAGGAGTCATTTAAAACATGAAGGGTATAGTGAGTCATGGGAGGAGAATGGCTGGCTACTGAGGGTGAGTAACAGGGAGGCTTCCCAGGGAAGCCTTCTAATGGGCATCTCATCGCTTAACAGCTCAGTTAACAAATTTAGACAAAAAGCAACTGAAAACTTCATCCCTAATTATCAAACCCCCTTGAAGCTGTACATTTCCCAAGGCTTTCCTAAGAGAATAGGTGTCACTAATCAATAATGACACCTAGTGAGACACTCCCAAAGAGCTCTCTTTCTGTGAGATGTCTGTTAACCCAGCAGGAGGAGTCTGAGGTGAAATGCTTCTTACTTCAGTGTTAATTATTTGCATTTTCTCCTTAGAGCCAATGGGAGCTTGAAGTATGAAAGCCAATTGCTGAATTCCAGGAGGCCAAAAACACTCAGCTCTGCAGGAATCCATCAGCTAGTGGATTTCTGGATTGCCTTTGTCCTGAGGAAGAAATTCATAGATCCGTCAAAGGATTGTCATTCTTTTCATACAAGTAGAGGGCTTTCCATAGACTAATATTATTTCTAAGTGAGGCTTTCGTGAGGCTTTTGTTTGGGGACACTGACAACAGGGTGACTTGTTATGATTAACATGAAAGTCAGAGCAATAAAAGTTCACTAAGATACTCACAGCTGGTCATGTTTCATGTCTAAGAGACGAAGTTCATTTGTCATGTTAGCTATTTTTACTTAAAGTAACAAAGTGGGCAGTGACAGATGCATAAACCCTTGATGGGAAGGACCTTACCTCTGGATTGGCCTGAAGTGATTTGTGGCCAAGTTCTGTTGTATTTACTGCTGTTGTGATTTTGCCTTAATTTCAATGCACAGAAAAAGTCTTGAAAGCATTTTGATTCCTAGTGTAATATTTGACGCTTTAGGAACATCAAAGTAGTCATGAACATAATTCTTGACTGAAGTTAAGATTACTAATTTCCAGGGGGGAACTGATTTGGGAGGATGTATTTTAGCCTTTTCTGTGACCTCCTCAGGCTGAGGTAAACCTTGCTCTATACTGTAAAGCCATGTCAAGTTCCCTCACCTTTTATTAAATCTTTCAAAATTACACAATTGATACATATGCTGCTGGTGTGGGGGAGGGGAGCAGAGCACCAGCAGATGTGAATTCCAGACCTTTCACTTGGTGACAGATGAGGCTTTCCATTACAACCAACGCTCATAGACATGAAGCGGCAAAACATAGCTCAGCAGAAACATCCTACTGCAAGTGTGTCCCAGGGGCCAGTTCTTCCCCAGGAAACTAATCTGCCTAAGGCACAGTCTGTGTCTTCCCAGACCTGTGCAGTTGAGGGACATTTCCCGAATGACCTTCCTCAGAATGTTAGTGGGGGAGTATTGAGTAAGGTTGCCCTGATCCCTTACCGTGCAAAACAGAAGCAAAAATCTACAAATGAAGGTTTGGTCTAAAATGTTCTTCCTCTGAAAAACTGACGGATTGCAAAAGCTTATCTTTGAATTCTTTGAAGCTGTGTAGCGCCAATGCCTATAAAAGGATGAAAAAGGATGGCTAATTGCCATCAGAAACCAGACTTCCAGGACAAGGTCTGCAAATATCTTGCTCCATTCAAGCTGATTCTTATCCTTAATAGAAAGTTTCAATGTTTTCATCAATATGCCCCTCCTTTTAAAAAGATGGAGCACAAAGATACAAGATAAACTCACTTCTGCTGGAGGGATGTAATCTTATGTCTCATCCAGATGTTTAAGTCATTCAAGGTTCAGTGATCTTCAAAAGCAGAATTCCATAGACTCCCTCAACCATTCACAAATCTATATATTCTTTATTAATCTCCAACAATGCTCCAGATGCTATGGAAAGTAGTAAGAATATATAATTAACTGCAGAATTATATATACTATATATGTATATATTAACTACAGGATTACATATTATATATATATATAATATATATATATATAAAATTAATTACAGAATTATATATTCTTACCCATCCTCCCATGTACTCTTTCAGTTTGGAAACAGCACATTAAGTAAGTGCAAGCTGAAAAAGAGGGAACTGTGATAAAGAGGGAACCACAGAAGCATTTGAGCTATTGTTCAAATAACAGTTTCACAGCTAAGGGAGGAGGAAAGTGGGTGCCATTCCACCAGGAGAGACAGCCTAGCAAAAGACGTAGAGTAAAGCTTGCGTAACTTACTTGGCAAGCTTCGAGACAGGGGAGAAGTGTAGCATATCTAACAGGCTGGGCAGGAATGTGGCATGGCAAGTGACAAGACAAGAAAAATAGTTCTGCTGAATACATGCTGGGGATTTTGGACTCCATTGTGTAGAGCTACTAGAAGTCATGAAGGATTTTTAAACAGAGCAGTTGTATGGTTGGGAACTGGGAGTGCCAGAGTGAGGCTATAGTGCTCAGGATCAATGAAATTATTTATTGGCCTGCTCCAAAAATCCAAGGGAGAGACCTTCAGGAATGAAATTCATAGAGCAAATGAACTATTAAAGAAGACTGTCCTAACTAAGTTGATCTCAGCTAAAACAAACATTAGAAGAAATGCTTTTAAAACTTCAAATAGAACTTAACCAAATTGAAAAGATGTATGCTTGCTGAGACCTGGGCCTAATTGGATAGCAAAGATTAGTGGATTATAGGGGAGAGAGAAAACCCAAATCCTAAACTGCTAGTGTTCCCATTACTGTTATAATGGTACATTTTGTTTGTAAATGTATGCCCAGTGCGTTTAAAAACCAAACTCTTTGGAAGGATTGTGTTTCCTGAAAGTGGTGAACATCCACTTAAAACATATTTGAATGTTCAGCTGTTTACCAAGTTGGTTTAGAAATAGTTATATACAATCAATCTCATTCAGCAGTCACTTTAATTTAGTGACATATAAACAAAACAGATTTGTTTGCCATTTATGAACTGGGGTCTAGCAGCAAGGGATGTTTCAATAACATATTATAGTGATTCAAGTTGGGCTTGGCAGTGAGAAATGACTTCAAAGGAGCACAAGAGATGTTTTCTGGAGAGAAAGACATGTGCTGACATTAGATTGCTGTCCGTATTGCAGCACCAAATTTGCTTACAGGTGCTTGGCTTTTGCACCTAAAATGGGTAAACTTTTTAGTTATGAATCAACTCCCATAAAACTGTTAAGGCCATGATTAATGTACACCTATAGCTACTTTAAATATGCTTAATGCTGTGATGAAACCTGCAGTCATTCATCTGGCAATATTTTATAGAGAAACTATTGGAGATAGATGTGTTCTTGGCCACTGGAGATACATTACAGCAAGAGAACAGGGTTATTTTCTTGATCCCTTAAATTGGACAACCTACAAAGGAAGGGCTCTCGTGTATACTAAATAGCCTTTGAAGCAACCTTATAACTCAACTTTCATTTGAAACCCTTTAATGGCCTGGTAGAACAGGTCAGCAGGTAAAGGTGCCTACCACCAAGAATAACAGCTTGAGTGACCTGAGTTCAAGTCCCAGGACCCATGTAGAAGTCTACCTCAAATTGTTCCCTGGCATCCATTTGCTTGGCTAGGTATACCCATGTGTGAGCACATGAGCATACATATATGTAAACTAATTAACTAAATAATGTTTAAAAGCATCTTTACTCAATATCTACCATGTGCCATGCATCACAACTGGTAGCAGGAATAAAATGATGTGCAAGTCATGATTTCCAGTACCACCAAAAACATGATTTCACTCTCTGTTGAGACAATCCTCTGAAGTAGGAGATGCAGTTCTCTTTCTTTTCTGTAGCAGAGCAAAAGAATCCGAATGTCAAGTGCCTCCTCCAAGATCACACAATGCCAGGGCTGGGTTTCAAACTCAGGATTTCATCTGCACACTCTGCGAGGCTGCACTGTTTTTAAGGTCATTATCAGATGTAAGAAATGAACACATTGTATAGAATTTATTATCAGCGTGCACTGTGTTCTTCGGGACCATCATGGGCTTGGTTAGCTGTATACTGGTTTTGTTGGCTGAGCACTATCCTCCTCCTGGGTCCTGCACTGTGAAGGTGCCTCTGGTGCTAGATCAAGAAGGTGTTATCTAGAACAGCACTTCTTCCTCTTTGCTACCAGTGTTAGTGGCTTCTGCAGATCTATGTTAAAGTCCTCACCTAGGGATGCAAAGCTAATCGTCGGTCTTCATTTCTCATCTAAAGAGATACTTCCCATGCTACTTCTTCCTTTGTTTTCAGTTCGCTAGTGATGCGTTCCAACAAAATAAAACTCAACACTGACCCAGGAGGACAGTCCCCCAATCTTTGTGCATTTTCCACATCAATCGCCCATGAGTATCTTAACGTGCTTCTACTGGGACAAGGACAGCCTGCTGGGGCTCACTCACGATTAAAAATTCTAGATACATGTGGGAGAAATATTTCAAGTCAACAAGGCATTTGTACGAATATGAACAATGATAGGAAATAGGAAAGGGAAATATGCTGGCAGGCTAAAACCAAGTGAGAAATGAACTGCTGCACAGATAACCGTCAGTCAATTATATTATCAACATCTCCAAATTTAAAAGTAATCTCTCAATGTAGCTGCATTTCTCATCATAACTATGCTGATACTGTGATGAGAAAGGAGGGATTGTGAGGGAAGGCCAACCCAAGTTATCTCTCTCTAAAACTCACATATTTTTCTAGTATTACTTTTTTACATTAATAAATATATTTTGTTGGTTATTTTACTGGCCTTTTCAGATAGTAGCCATGCTTCCCTTCTAACTTGGAATATAAAAATCTTCATATTCTCCCAAAGAGTACTCAACTTAGAAAATTTAGCCAAACATGTCTTTCCAAGCAATAGCTGATTCGGTAAGAACCAGTAATTTCTAACGAAAATCTACAGCTCTACCTTGTCGACACAGAATTATCACTAGCTACCTGGAGATAAGTGTTTGGAGCAAAATCCAATTTTCACAAAGCTGAGAGGAAAAGAGAAGAAAAAAGGGGGAGGCTCAAGCATGTACAGGGCCTATAGTAACTGGACAGCTACGGTTTTAGAACAATTACATTAAGTACACAAATCTGGTTTTAATGGCCATGCTTAGAAGAGGGGCAAAGTGCTAAATGTGTAAGTCATTATGAACTTGGCACAGTAGCTCTGTTTATTTTAGGCTCTTGCACTGGTTTTGTGGAGGATGTTTACTTAACCAGACTCTATTAAACATGCTAAACACATTATTGTGGACTTGGTCTCCGTGAGCGCCCCTCATTGACAAGCTGAAAGAGGAATATATCATTGGAATCATAGACGGTGGCAGATAGGCTAGAGGAGATGCAGGCGGGTATCTTTTTATCACGAGCTAGAAACATTTTCAGTTGAATTTGTGTTTCTGAAAACCAAAGTCATGATAACCTTGGAGACAGGAGTGTATTGACCAGAGACACCAGACACAGAGCAGGGAACTGCGAGTAGGCATTGCTCTTAACCACCTCTGACCTGTTGGCCCCAGATGATAGCACACTCTGGTGTCGGGACTATCCTATGCCTAGTCCTGTCATTCAGATGCAGCTGCCAGGCCACGACTAACTAATTACTTACTCCAAGGGCTTGATAAGGGCGAGCATCTTAACTCTTGATAAAACTGCCTAAGTCCAGGAAGGAGTACAGTGCTTAGCAGTGTTTCAGAATACCAAGATAAGGAACTGAAAGACACGAGACTTGCTATCAGTGATTGTCATGTGTGATCCAAGTTACTTTGGGCATTTTTACTTCTTTTCCTTTTTCTCCTTCCCTTTCCTCCTTCCTTCCTTTCAATGGCCCTTCCTTTACTCTTTTCTTCTTTCCTTTCTTCCTTTTTTTCCTTCCTTACTCTCAATGCCTCTTCCTTCTTTCCTCCCTCCCTCTCCTTCCCTTCCTTCCTTCCTTCCTCCTCCCTCTCTCCTTCCCTTCCTCTCAGTGCCCCTTCCTTTCTTCCCTCTTCCCCCCTGGCTCCCTTCCTTCTTTCCTTCCCTGCCTCCTCCTTCCTTCACTTCCTCCTCTTCCTCTCCTCCTCCCTTCCTATCCTCTCCCCTTCCTTTATTCCTCCTTTCTACCTCCTCCACCTTCTTCTTTCCTTTCTTTTCCCGTAACCTCTCCTTCTTTTTCCTCAATCAATTTCACCTCTTATGCCATATATTCATCTTTTGAGGACTCTTAATTTAAACAGGTTTATTTTTACATTATATAAATATATAGCCACATACAAATCAATTCATGTTAGAATTAAAATATTTTGAACAATTGTATTTTGAATTTCCCACAAAGTAAGTTCCTAGCAAAAAAGCAGTGTTATTCTAAAATGAACAGTTGGAGATATTTTCCATGCACTGTAATTATTTATTAAAGCCACCCTAGAAGACAGATAATTGGCAGACAGAAATGACTAAAAATTAACACATATGTTTTTCTTTGCCATTTACATAAATCTAAACCCCAAAGAGATCTTAGTCTGTGGTATCACAAATTATCTGATATGTTCTTTTGAAGTTCGTTGACAAAAAACACCCCAGACACAAGTCCGTTTTATGTGGTGTGTGGTCTTGGAGCAAAATCTATTAGCTTTATTTAGTTGAAAAATAAACACTCTAAGTATTTCTAACAAGGTTTCGTAGAACAGGTTTGATAAATAAAATAATTAATATGAGAGAATGCTTATCAGCCACATGCTCTTTAAAGTAACACATACTATTAATTAACAAGCAAATACGCACATTTCTAGGGAGTTGGCTTTTGAGATCCAAACACAACATCATTATTTTCTAACATTGTTCTTCCATCTGGACCTTTGTGTGCTGTGGGATATGGAACATGGCACAT